TTATTATTATTATACTACAGGATTATCATGGATAATCCTTTCATATTTCCTTTACTTCAAAATATGTACATTAGGCTAGGTGTTAAAAATATTAATTTATATTTAATGGTTGTGCTGTGTGCTATGAAATACTTTGTATTTTTTTTTTTTTTTAAAGAAACCAAGAATCAGGCAACTGCTGTTTCCGAGGTAATCAGAGGTCATAATTCTCCTGTAGTCTGACACAGTTGCTGGCCTCTATTGCCTGTCTTCTTACCCTGTTTCCTATGTTCTCAGTGTGCAATGTATAAGGGCAGGCAACTGACAGGAAGAAAACATTCAGCTGAAGTGTCAAGCTTGGACAAAATAAGTTATGCTATATGAGAGGAAAATATAAACCTTTTCTTAAGGTAGATTAAGTAACTATACCAGAATAAGTAATCATTTAGATGATTGCATTATAGTGTATGTAAACCCAAACACAAAAACCGTATCAGCCCTTAGGTGGTGTTTGCATTTGTTTTATTTTCCAACTTTTTTTCCTTTATTTTCACCTGATAATTCTGCCAATAACACACTTCCTGTTCTAAACTGATCATGTATACTCACTATACTGTATCTATAGAGGAGCACCCTGTCACCATAGGACAGGGAATGTGTTAAAGACTCCAAGACACACCGCACACTTTCCTTTGCCCAACATTTGGAAAGGTATTCTGTCATTGACATAGGTAAGGGTCACACTATTGTTTTCAGATAACACAGGAAGTATGCACAGGATACAGGACAACACTGGATTTCAGGCAGAATCAAAAGATATTTTGTACTTATTAAATGGAAATAGCAAAACACTTTCAATTGTATATTTAACAGACCAAAAAAGGGTTGCCTGCACTCTCAGCAGTCTCCCTGGATGCGACTAAGCTGGTAGTGGGTGGAACACTAAGCATCAGGCTGCCTGGCTGTGGAAAAATACCATATCAGATGTCTTTGGAAAAAGGCTTGAACTTCATTTAGTCTCCTGTATTACCTGTGCATGTGTGGACCCAGAGCTGTGGCCAGTCACACAGGACTTTCTCCCCTGCCTTCCTCGAATCTAGGAGCCCTTTCTTATTCCACTCTGCTTTCCTCATCCTGTGTCTCTTTGCTGCTTGCTGTCTGGTGGACCTGAAGCTGTAGTCGGGACCTCCACTTCTCCCAGGATCCAGTGACCCCATCTTCTGGACCCCTCACTCTGCTTGGACCTCTCTGCCGAGCCAACACAGCCAGCTGGCTGGACTGTTGGAGGTCTACAGCGTGAGTTTTTTAAACCTTTTGATGTGCTATCCTGTAACTCTGGGTTTATCCTTTGCTGTACCAAATTACTGCCCTGTGACCATTCTGCCTGTTCAATACTATGTCTGGGGTTCTATCCTCTTGCTCTGGACTTGTTCTTTGCTGTGCCACATTGATGCTGCGTGATCCTCTTGTTTGTCTCATGCTGTACCCCAGATTGTTACCACTGGGCTTACCCCTTTTTGCTTGCATTCTATTTCTCTCCTTTGATGCTGCTGATTATCCTGGGATGTACCATACTGTTACCTGACACCTCCTAGACTTAGCCCTGGCCCCAATCCATTATTTCTGTGTACCAAAATGCCCTCAATAAACATCCAGCAGATTGTGTCCCATGTGATGTGTTTCCATGTGCTCTCTATCTCTTCACTCCTAGTTCATCACAGGTTTTCACATTGTATACATTAAGTAAATGTGACAACTACTCTTTAAAATAACCAATAATTAATTCTTTCCCTGTAGCGATCGTTTTGTTTTCTAGAATGACGGACGTTAATCACTTAAAAATGACAGTGACACTTGCAGAAGGCTCTGAATAGTAATTTTCTTTATGTGTATAGCTTAATGGATTTACATGAAATGGACTTAATGAAATCATAGCTGACCAGAAAACAATGTACATTTTCTTCCCTTTGTTAGGATTTGTGAGAGGTGCTGCCTCTTTAACTCGGAATTTAATCAGATTTCATCTTGGTTCCCAATCTGGCTGAGAAACGGCTGGGAGATTTTCTGTGGCTCGCAGGGTTAATTAAGAGAGACAGGCTTATGCAAAATAGAGCCAGAGTCACTGCCACCAAGTTGGGAACTGTAATAGATTAATTCATTGCTACGGACTTATCATTTGGAGCTGCTAATGCACTGGAGGAAATTAATAATTTCAATTAAACTGTATATTTTACCAACTTCTGTTCTGTTACAGGTGGGAGCCAAACAAAGATTGAAGAAGAGAGTGTGAGTAATTCCAGAACACAAGGAATTCAACTTATCATCTACAGCTGATCATGTCACCTACTTTGGGATTCAGATCACTGAGTTGATTTTAATCTACTGTATAATTATGGTCATTGCAAGTACTGTGTATGTCCATTATTATACACACGTATAGGCACATTCCAGTCACAGTTTTTTTTTTCATTAAACCTGAGGCATGGGACACATCCTACTTACAAAACAGTTTTCACTTTTACTCCAGCATGCATTCTGTGCATCTAGATTATCCATTTGTATAATTCCTATAGTTACAGGTATGTGGATCGATGCTGAAGAATTTGAGCCTGCTCTGTTCCTTTAGTGGGACCACTAAAGTTTTGAGCAGTTTAGAGCATGAAAGGGAACTCACAGGCCAAGAATCACATGACAAAGCAATAGGGTTCAATACAGAATCAGCAGGAAAATGTTGCTAAATATGGATATATTGGATTATAACGTAAAAAAAACCATTCATACTAGGTTATACTAATGTAAATGTAAACATCACCCCTAAAATCTCACGCAAGCTTCAACATGTTAAATTGTAATTAAACTCATTTCCACATGTTTCAACATATGTGATGTGTATAAAAGCCTGAAAACCATGAGCCATATATTACAACAGGAGGATAATTGCAAATGCCTTTAAACTGACCTAGAAGTTAGTAATTTGATAATTATGCAGCTCCACCACAAGTAAGTGCAATATATGAGAGGAGTTCAATCCCAGCATGCATATTGCAACCGTGTTTGAAGCTTATGGTGCCGTTCCAAGAAGGAGTAGACTTCTGTTTCAGATCCTCAGGATTCATGGGGTGCTGGCAATATCCCTGTGCTGATCTAGAGAGCAATACGTGCGTCTGTGTGGGGATCGCCACTCACTCAAACAGTCCATGTAAACTAAAAGTGAAAGGCAGCCTCAGCCTGCAGGTCTCCATTAAGCCACACTGGCTGACGCGTTTCGTCCGGACCATTGAGGCTTAGTCATAGGGCGTGTCCTGCATATGTCATTGCAGTGCTCCTTATCATGCAAAAGAAGGCAAAAGGGAATGACAGGAGAAGTCAATACACATAAACTTCACCTCACTATCAATCAACAAATTCCACTGTAAGCAAAATAAATTATTATAAACAATATGGTGGTGGTGGTGGTGGGGGGGATTCAGTTAAGCTGCTGTACTGCTTTTCTGACATGAATTGCTCTTGTTAGTGTTTTGCTTCTAATTAAAAAAAATCTGCAACAATTTTGGTTCTGATAGCAACTGTTGCGCCAAATTCAGTAAGTTCTACTTTGCTGTACGTCTGCATTGTGGTGCAATACCTGCACAACATTCTAAATAAAATACCCAGTTCATATCTTACGAATATGAAGCTAATTAAAACTATATTTAATTTGGTGTACAGAGACAGATTTTGCAAGTGTCTTTCACATGTGTTCTAAAGTGGCGCAGCATGAGCTTGTTCTAGGCAGGTACATGCATTTGGCACATGACGCGCCACTTTTAGAACGCATGTGAGACATTTTCCACAAAATCTGTCTGCCCCAGCCTTTATGAATTTGTGGGATTGTGTGTTTTAAGTAAATGGCACCACCATTGTACTGTATACTGTATAAGCAATAATTAATTCCATTTTTATTTCTTTTATGTTATCTTATTTTCATTTAGATCTGTTTTTTTTTTTGTTACTAATGGTCATGTAATTGCCCGTGACAGGTGGGCTGGATCACAGGGGGAGAGAGAAGAAGAAGTAATCCATTGTCAATCTTGTGGCTGAAGCTGTAGGAACTGGCAGAAACATCAGGTATTTACTATCCAATGGTCTGCATTTTAAAGAAATGCATAGTTATCATGCATAGTTACATGAAATATTGTTGGTGTTGATTAGAGATGAGCGAAGTATTCAAAAAATTCGATTCGGCTGATTCGGCGAATTCGAGGAATAAATTTGTTTCGATGCGAATATATTCGCTGCGAATTTAACTTATAAAAGGGTGTTTCTAGGCTTCAGAGAGCCTTCATATTAGTGCAGAACACTGTACCTTTAATTTAAATGCCCTTGGAGTCTGCTGGGGAAGAGAAATAATACTGTCAGTCAGTATGACATGCAGATGAGTGCCGTCGATCTTTAGAATCACCGCACACTTCACTCATTTGGGCAGTCACCGGGGCCGAAAAACAGAGTGTGGGAGCCACCGCAGTGACAAAAATGGAACCCACCCTCAGTGTGGTGGAGTGGCACATGGCAGCAGCAATGGGAGGCCATACAGCACCCTATGACAAAATGCGGTAAACCCACCAGCAGATTGTGACTGGAGACCTGAAAGTGAGGCACATGGCAGAGTGTGGCGATGGAGGACAGCAGCAATGGGTCCAGGCCCTACAGGGACCCATGACACACTCTGGACCTTGGCAGCAGCATGAGGAAGTCAGCAGCGGTACGGTACAGGGGCCCATGGCAGATTACGGGCCTGGCAGCAGCAATGGGAGGCCACGTAATCTGCCAGCACCCTATGACAAAATGGAACACACCAGCAGTGTGAGGAGACCTGAAAGTGGCACATGGCAGAGTGTGGCGATGGAGACAGCAGCAATGGGAGGGCCGTACAGGGACCCATGAGAGACTCTGGACCTTGGCAGCAGCATGAGGAGGCGGTACGGGGCCCATGGCAGATTACGGGGCCAGGCTAGCAGCAATGGGAGGCCCGTAATCTGCCAGCACCCTATGACAAAATGGAACACACCAGCAGTGTGAGGAGACCTGAAAGTGGCACATGGCAGAGTGTGGCGATGGAGACAAGCAGCAATGGGAGGCCGTACAGGGACCGCATGAGACACTCCGGACCTGGCAGCAGCATGAGGAGGCGGTACGGGGGCCCATGGCAGATTTACGGGCCTGGCAGCAGCAATGGGAGGCCCGTAATCTGCCAGCACCCTATGACAAAAAATGGAACACACCAGCAGTGTGAGGAGACCTGAAAGTGGCACATGGCAGAGTGTGGCGATGGAGACAGCAGCAATGGGAGGCCGTACAGGGACCCATGAGACACTGTGGACCTGGCAGCAGCATGAGGAGGCAGTACAGGGGCCCATGGCAGATTACGGGCCTGGCAGCAGCAATGGGAGGCCCGTAATCTGCCAGCACCCTATGACAACAAAATGGAACACACCAGCAGTGTGAGGAGACCTGAAAGTGGCACATGGCAGAGTGTGGCGATGGAGACAGCAGCAATGGGAGGCCGTACAGGAACCCATGAGAGACTCTGGACCTGCAGCAGCATGAGGAGGCGGTACTGGGGCCCATGGCAGATTACGGGCCTGGCAGCAGCAATGGGAGGCCCGTAATCTGCCAGCACCCTATGACAAAAAATGGAACACACCAGCAGTGTGAGGAGACCTGAAAGTGGCACATGGCAGAGTGTGGCGATGGAGACAGCAGCAATGGGAGGCCGTACAGGGACCCATGAGAGACTCTGGACCTGGCAGCAGCATGAGGAGGCGGTACAGGGGCCCATGGCAGATTACGGGCCTGGCAGCAGCAATGGGAGGCCCGTAATCTGCCAGCACCCTATGACAAAAAAATGGAACACACACCAGCAGTGTGAGGAGACCTGAAAGTGGCACATGGCAGAGTGTGGCGATGGAGACAGCAGCAATGGGGAGGCCGTACAGGGACCCATGAGAGACTCTGGACCTGGCAGCAGCATGAGGAGGCGGTACAGGGGCCCATGGCAGATTACGGGCCTGGCAGCAGCAATGGGAGGCCCGTAATCTGCCAGCACCCTATGACAAAAAATGGAACACACCAGCAGTGTGAGGAGACCTGAAAGTGGCACATGGCAGAGTGTGGCGATGGAGACAGCAGCAATGGGAGGCCGTACAGGGACCCATGAGAGACTCTGGACCTGGCAGCAGCATGAGGAGGCGGTACAGGGGCCCATGGCAGATTACGGGCCTGGGCAGCAGCAATGGGAGGCCCGTAATCTGCCAGCACCCTATGACAAAAAATGGAACACACCAGCAGTGTGTGAGGAGACCTGAAAGTGGCACATGTTTGGGGCATGATTCATGGCGGATTTAGTCAGTTTGTGTCAGGAACTGGTGGTTTGAAATCCAGACTAATCCACGCCTGATTCATTTTCACAAACGTGAGTCTCTCCACACTTTGGGTGGACAGTCGTGTCCTCCGCGGAGTTACAATACCTCCTGCCGCACTAAACACGCGCTCCGATGCCACGCTACTGGCCGGGCATGACAGCCTTTCAAGGGCAAATTCAGCTAGTTGGGGCCAAAGGTCAAGTTTCGTTGCCCAGTAGTCAAGGGGATTGTCTACCTCGGTTGGCAGGGTGCTGTCCAAGTAGGCCCAAGCCTGTTGTTTGAGGTCCTGCTCCAGGTCCACCTGATGCTGCTGCTGCTGAGCTGCTGCGGCTGGTTAGTAGTTTCCTCACTGCGCTGGTGAAGAAAGCTACTCATCATCGACTGCAGACTGAGGCAGCCGCTGCTGGTGGAGCTGCCACTGCTCCTACCACCCCACCCCTCCCCTGCTGCCATGGCAGCGGAACGCGAGCGCACAGGGCCCACAGTGTCTGAGGATGGACGTTGGCGCACAAAGGCAGAGACCAACTGACTACATAGGTGGTTTTTATAGTACGTTATTTTGGCCTCCCTCTCAGCAGGTGTGAAAAAGGCCACCATTTTTGAACGGTAGCGAGGTCCAACAAGGTGGACAGCCAAAAGTCATCCCTCTGTCTGATGGTTATTATTCGGCTGTCGCTACGCAAGCAACCGAGCATGCTATGGGCCATTTGTGCCAAGGAATGCGAGGGACTCCCTGCCTCCATCTCCACAGCATACTGCCACGGTGCGTCTGGGTCCTCTGTCTCCTCCTCCTCCTCCTCTACCAGATGCTCCTGCTCCTCCACTCCTGTCCGCTGAGTGGAAAAACCACCCATTTCACTCAATAATTCCTGAGCACAAATGTCCTCCTCTACCTCCTCCTCTTCTTTCCTGTCCTGCCCCCACAGGGGTCATGTGGCGTTGAGATCTGTGCGCCACGTCTACCGCACCCTGACCAGCCATTGTTAACAGCATTTGTTCCAGGACGTGCAACAGAGGAATGACGTCGTTCATCCCATAGTCCTGCCGACTCACGAATAGCGTGGCCTCCTCAAAGGGCCTGAGCAAGCGGCAGGTGTCACGCATGAGCTGCCAATGGCTGACATCGAAGTTACACAGGGGAGTACCTTTATCCGCTTGTAACATCAGGAAATCGGTGATGGCCTTTCGCTGTTCGTAAAGGCGGTCTAACATGTGTAGGGTTGAATTCCACCTTGTTGCAACGTCGCAGATCAGGCGATGCTGTGGAATTCCGTTCTGCCGCTGCAGCTCAAGGAGGGTGTGCTTTGCGGTGTAGGAATGGCTGAAATGCATGCAAAGTTTACGTGACATTTTAAGGATGTCTTGCAGTGGGATGGTGGATTTTAGGAACCGCTTGACAACCAGATTGAACACGTGAGCCATGCATGGCGCATGGCACAACCTTCCTTGACGCAGAGCAGACACCATGTTCTTTCCGTTGTCGGTCAACATGGTTCCGATTTTCAGTTTGCGCGGAGACAGCCATCTGTCGATTTCTCTGTTCATTACACTCAGAAGTTCCTCCCCTGTGTGACTACGTTCGCCAAGGCATACCAGGTGCAGCACAGCGTGACACCGTTGCGCCCTGCACATGTGATATGCCGGTCGGGTAATGGGACTTGGCACGGGGGGGTGGCGGCTGAGGACACGGCGGAAGAAGAGGTGGGTAGAGGCGGACATCTTTTGTGGACCAAGGACGTGCAAACGTGGAGGCAAAAGCGGCGTGACCTGTCCAAGTTGCTGGTGCGGCTGTGCCGGCACCACGTTCACCCAGTGGGCCGTAAATGACATGTACTGTCCCTGACCGTAGTTACAGCTCCACACGTCGGCGCTGCCGTGCACTTTGGCAGAGAGACCGACATGCTCAAAGACTGGCCCACCATCTCTTCTACATGTGAATGCAGGGCTGGCACTGCCTTTTTGGCGAAGAAATGACGGCTTGGCACTCTCCACCGCGGCGCGGCACAAGCCATCATTTCTCGGAAAGGTGCTGAGTCCACCACTTGGAAAGGGAGGGACTGCAGCACCAGCAACTTGGACAGGAGGACGTTCAGCTTTTGCACCGTCGGGTGCGTGCTCGCAAACTGTTGTCTCTTGGAAACGGATTCCAAGAAAGACTGCTGACGGAATCCGTGAAGAGGAGTAGCAGGAGAAGGAGCATCTGAACGAGCGGAAGATGCCAACGAGCGACAACTCCCCTCAGCAGAGGTGTTGGAGCCTTGACTGGCTGATAGAGGGCGATTGACGTCGGGTGACGGAGCAAGTAACGGAGCGGGTGATGGAGCGGGGGCTGGGGCAGGCAGAACCGCCGTATCTTTATCACGGTTTTCCCAGGCCACCAAATGGCGACGCTGCATATGCTGCCGCAACGCTGTAGTCCCAACATGGGCCCCCTGGCCACGCTTGACTTTCTGGCCACATAGTCGACATACGGCTACGTTTACTTCCTCGGGCGGCTTGACGAAAAATTGCCACACCGCCGAGTAGGAAACTTTGCCCCCGATACTCCTCACTGGCTGACTGCTGCTACTTCCTCCGTGCACACCGGCACCACTACTGGCCGTGGTGGTAGGCTGCAGTGGAGCTGGTGCTCTACTCCGTGGCCGTTTGCCTCCACTGACACTGCTGCGACCCTGCTGCCTCCTGGGCAACCCACCGACTGTTTTTGCTCGCTGCCAAGCTGCACCCCTCTTCTCCTGATGATGCGGAAGCAATAGCCTGATGACGACGAGGCTGCCAAGTGCGATCAGCCTCATCATCATCAATTAGGGTCTCCGCCTCACTACTAGCCCCCTCGGCTGCGTGTGGGTCAGGAGACAGACCTGTCTCTAGACCGGCTACCGAGCCACTCTCCTCGCCAGTACTTCTTCGCCTGGCTGCTGAAGAGGCGGATGTCTCCCCCCGTTCCTGACCGCCCTCTGTTAGCTCTTCCTCACTGTACAGTGGGGCTGAGCCCACAGCATGCGATACTACTTCGCTTGGTGAGGGAACACCAAAGGACAGGGGCAGGTAGAGGACACGTGATTTCAGTGGGCTTGCTCCCGGGCCATGCCAACTAACGGTTGTGTCTGACGTACCCACCGACCGTTGGCTGTAGGTGTCAGAGGTGACCTGGGAAGAGGAAGACGACCGAGCCAACCAATCGATGACGGCAGGGTTGTCGGTGGAGACACGACCGCTGGATGACACCGGGAGCACTGGCCTCTGGCTGCGACTAGTGCTGCCTCGACCCCTTCCTCTGCTGCCACGTCTGCTCGCTCCTAAAACATTGCCTCCTCTGCCACTCCTCTGCATGTTGTCTGACATACTTTCTTTAATTCAACGATTCTGTGTCCCTGAGTAACAATTCTGTGTCCCTGAGTAACAATTCTGTGTCCCTGAGTAACAATTTCTGTGTCCCTGAGTAACAATTCTGTGTCCCTCAGTAACAATTCTGTGTCCCTCAGTAACAATTCTGTGTCCCCTCAGTAACAATTCTGTGTCCCTGAGTAACAATTCTGTGTCCCTGAGTAACAATTCTGTGTCCCTCAGTAACAATTCTGTGTCTGTCCCTGAGTAACAATTCTGTGTCCCTCAGTAACAATTCTGTGTCCCTCAGTAACAATTCTGTGTCTGTCCCCTGAGTAACAATTCTGTGTCCCTGAGTAACAATTCTGTGTCCCTCAGTAACAATTCTGTGTCCCTGAGTAACAATTCTGTGTCCCTGAGTAACAATTCTGTGTCCCTCAGTAACAATTCTGTGTCCCTGAGTAACAATTCTGTGTCTGTCCCTGAGTAACAATTCTGTGTCCCTCAGTAACAATTCTGTCAGTAACAATTTCTGTGTCCCTCAGTAACAATTCTGTGTGTCCCTGAGTAACAATTTCTGTGTCCCTGAGTAACAATTCTGTGTCCCTCAGTAACAATTCTGTGTCCCTCAGTAACAATTCTGTGTCTGTCCCTGAGTAACAATTCTGTGTGTCCCTCAGTAACAATTCTGTGTCCCTCAGTAACAATTCTGTGTCTGTCCCTGAGTAACAATTCTGTGTCCCTCAGTAACAATTCTGTGTCCCTGAGTAACAATTCTGTGTCCCTGAGTAACAATTCTGTGTCTGTCCCTGAGTAACAATTCTGTGTGTCCCTGAGTAACAATTCTGTGTCCCTCAGTAACAATTCTGTGTCCCTGAGTAACAATTCTGTGTCCCCAGTAACAATTCTGTGTCTGTCCCTGAGTAACAATTCTGTGTCCCTCAGTAACAATTCTGTGTCCCTCAGTAACAATTCTGTGTCTGTGTCCCTGAGTAACAATTCTGTGTCCCTGAGTAACAATTTGTGTGTCCCTGAGTAACAATTCTGTGTGTCCCTCAGTAACAATTCTGTGTCCCTCAGTAACAATTCTGTGTCCCTCAGTAACAATTCTGTGTCTGTCCCTGAGTAACAATTCTGTGTCCCTCAGTAACAATTCTGTGTCCCTCAGTAACAATTCTGTGTCCCTGAGTAACAATTTCTGTGTCCCTCAGTAACAATTCTGTGTGTCCCTGAGTAACAATTCTGTGTCCCTCAGTAACAATTCTGTGTCTGTCCCTGAGTAACAATTCTGTGTCCCTCAGTAACAATTCTGTGTCCCTCAGTAACAATTCTGTGTCCCTGTCCCAGAGTAACAATTCTGTGTCTGTCCCTGAGTAACAATTCTGTGTCCCTGAGTAACAATTCTGTGTCCCTCAGTAACAATTCTGTGTCCCTCAGTAACAATTCTGTGTCCCTGAGTAACAATTCTGTGTCCCTCAGTAACAATTCTGTGTCCCTCAGTAACAATTCTGTGTCTGTCCCTGAGTAACAATTCTGTGTCCCTCAGTAACAATTCTGTGTCCCTCAGTAACAATTCTGTGTCTGTCCCTGAGTAACAATTCTGTGTGTCCCTCAGTAACAATTCTGTGTCCCTCAGTAACAATTCTGTGTCTGTCCCTGAGTAACAATTCTGTGTCCCTCAGTAACAATTCTGTGTCCCTCAGTAACAATTCTGTGTCTGTCCCTGAGTAACAATTCTGTGTCCCTCAGTAACAATTCTGTGTCCCTCAGTAACAATTCTGTGTCCCTCAGTAACAATTCTGTGTCTGTCCCTGAGTAACAATTCTGTGTCTGTCCCTGAGTAACAATTCTGTGTCCCTCAGTAACAATTCTGTGTCCCTCAGTAACAATTCTGTGTCTGTCCCTGAGTAACAATTCTGTGTCTGTCCCTGAGTAACAATTCTGTGTCCCTCAGTAACAATTCTGTGTCCCTCAGTAACAATTCTGTGTCTGTCCCTGAGTAACAATTCTGTGTCTGTCCCTGAGTAACAATTCTGTGTCCCTCAGTAACAATTCTGTGTCTGTCCCTGAGTAACAATTCTGTGTCTGTCCCTGAGTAACAATTCTGTGTCCCTTTCCCTGAGTAACAATTCTGTGTCTGTCCCTGAGTAACAATTCTGTGTCCCTCAGTAACAATTCTGTGTCCCTCAGTAACAATTCTGTGTCCCTCAGTAACAATTCTGTGTCTGTCCCTAAGTAACAATTCTGTGGCCCTAAGTAACGTTTCTGTGTCCCTAAGTAACGATTCTGTGGCCCTAAGTAACGTTTCTGTGGCCCTAAGTAACGTTTCTGTGGCCCTAAGTAACGATTCTGTGGCCCTAAGTAACGTTTCTGTGGCCCTAAGTAACGATTCTGTGGCCCTAAGTAACGTTTCTCTGGCCCTAAGTAACGTTTCTGTGGCCCTAAGTAACGATTCTTTTGCCCTAAGTAACGTTTCTGTGTCCCTAAGTAACGTTTTCTGTGTCCCTAAGTAACGTTTCTGTGACCCTAAGTAACGTTTCTGTGTCCCTAACTCTCTCCCTCAATACAGCCAGGTCTGCCTCTCTTGAATGACTGGAGGCAAATGGAGAATTCTAAAATGGCTGCAATTTATAGCTCGACCATTACACAGTGCTGGCTGGCTGGCTGCTGATTGGCTAATGCGATCACATGTCATGAATGAATGCATTATGGGTCAGCGCACCTTGTCTGCGCGCCTTCCCAGAGATCCCCGCTCCGTCGCCGCACATGTCGCCGCCATTTTTGGAAAAATTTCGATTCGCACATCCGAAGTCTGCTAATTTTCGGATTCGTCGCGAATCGAAATTTTCCTAATATTCGAAACGAATTCCACTTCGCCAAGTTCGATTCGCTCATCTCTAGTGTTGATGTTGAAAGTTTGATTTTTGGGTTTAAAGTCATTCAAAAGGCTTATTTTTAATTAAAAAAAAAAATAACAAACATGTCATACTTACCTGCTCTTTGCTTTGGTTTTGAGGAGATGGCCGGGGATGCTGCAGGGGACGCATTGTGGGAGCGAAGGACAAGGTAAGCGCTGTAGGGAATCCCTGTGCAACGCCGCATGGTAAGCCCGAGTGTGGCTCGGGGTTATCGCTTTTGGTACTGAAACTTTACCCCGAGCTACACTCGGGAATACCGCCAGGGAGGTTAACACCATGGTGGCTCAATCGCTCCAAATCTGTTCTTTTTATAAAACTGGTTTCACTAATCTTTACCTGGGCATCCTTTCTGGGAGCCTTCTTTGGTGGAAGGTTAATAAATTGACTATTCTTTCAGTGCTACAAGCTCATTCCACTTTTTTATCTTTTCCAAACCTTCAAAACCTCAGTAACATTGCTTTTTGTTTTATACAGGTTGATAAGTCAGGCGCTGTTACAGCACCGTTTTAAAGTGTTAATAAACCCAGGACCCTGCATTCACTATATCTGGTCTCCCACAGTACACAGAACATAGAAATGCAATATTTTAGTAAATAAAAACTGCTAAATACCTTTTCTCATCAGCAGTTAGAGCAGTCTTGTGACTTCTATCTGTGTCCAGCCGAGCACTAGCTAAAGCTTGTAGGAGAAGTTTTCTATCTTTCTGCTCTAGGAGTATGGCAATCCCCTGATCTCTGTCTGGACAGTGCTGATTGGCCCTGTGCTTATCACATGCACTTTTCCATGAAAAAAAAAAACCTCTCTATACACCAAACTGAGCATTTGCATGCCTACGGTCCAATGTAGAGATAAGTGGTGGTCGCTTGAAAAAGGGGAGGAACCGAGAGGAAAGATTAAACAGCCTTTTTACACAATGCAGAGGATTAACCCCTTAGGTTCCACAGTGAGTAAAACAAGCATGCTTTACTGCATATACACACTGATTTTACTGTTGTGGGTTTAGTAACACTTTAACATTCATCACTGGAATGCATGCATATGTACAGGAAATGGCTGCTAAAATACTGTGGGACAACAGCAGCACTGAGATGCAACAAGAAATGAAAAAGGCAGAATGAGTAATTTATTTTATAAATGACATTTGTTTAGGAATATGATGAGTCAAACATGCCTGAGTTTGATTTGAGGAACGTTCAGGGAATCTTACTAAAGTTCAGGTGCTGAAGACCACGATAATCACTGCATTAGTGACAAATACTACAGTGATTCTTCAAGTCCCTCAGGTGTGGAATATGTATACTTCTATTAATCCAAGCTAGACCAATGTATCAATGCAATAAAAACCATATCTGGAGTTCATCTTTAGAGTCAGCCTCACTTCACCTCATTTACTAAGTTAGGAGAAAAGATACTTTGCAGTGCAAACATGCTCTACTCCTTGCAACTACTGAAAGAAAGACAGTGGGGTTGATTGGCAAAAGGTAAATAGCCTGTACAATTTGCAAGTACAGTGACATTCATTTTCCTCAGAGCTTAGTAAATGTGCTAACATTTCAGTTTGTAAAAAATACCCAATCAAGTGCAAGGGAAATAAAAAAACTTTTTTGCTTGCACATGATTGTATGATGCAAATCAGCAAGTTTTTATCACATTTAGTAAATCAACCCCCATTATATCTTTTTTTCTATAAAGGAAACTTGTCATGACAGAAACAAAAAGGTTGTTGACTGCTTTCAGAAAATTCTAGTTAGCTGGCTGTCATGCTGACCTTCCTTGCTTCATTATGATTTTGGGTCAATAACTCAAATCACATATTTAATAAAGGACTAATACCTGTTTCTGTGCTTTTTTTTCTAGTCAGTGATTTTGAAAGTTTTGAAGCAAACGGGCCAGCATAATGGTCAACCCACAATTTGTTGAAAAAAAGTGCATCCTTTTTTAATATTTTTGACTGGGATCCCTTGAGCCCACTGTTCAATGAAACCTCTATTATTATTATTATTATACTACTACGAGATTTTTATATAGCGCCAAAAGGTTTGCTCAGCGCTGTACAATAGAGGGGGGGGCAATACACGGCACAGTACAACAACAACAAACAACGTACAAGGGGTAAGAGGGCCCTACTCTTTCGAGCTTACAATCTAGGAGGGAGGGGGTAAAGGTTACAGTAGGAAGTGGCTGAGGGGAATGAGGGGTGGGAGGAAAGAGGGAGAATGGCCGTTAGGTGAGGGTGGGTGAAGGGTTTTTTTTGAGGGAGCGCCTGAATGTGAAGAGGGAAGGCGACAGTCTGATGGATTGGGGCAGTGAGTTCCAGAGGATGGGTGAGGACCTTAAAAGGTGTTTCACATTGTGTATAGCTAGCTTTAATTTAGTGTTATGAAAATACCTCTTTTGTCACATTAAAGTAATCCACTGACAAGGATTTTTTTTAATCTCATCTATTGAAACACAAACTGCAATAAAAATATAAAATATGACCTGGCAAGGACTTTGCAGTATGGAACTGTTAATGTTATACATACAGTATAAGGGTGGCTACAGATGACAGCCAGAAAAAAATGGCAGACTTTTCATTCTCAAAATGGTTAATTTTATACTGGCACCCTTATGGCTGATGGATGGATACAGTACAGTCAAGTAATCTTCCCTTTTCTCCATAGAAAAGTCAGAAGTGCTTATTATTACCACTGGCCTGATGTGATCTGAAATAGTTCTTATTACTTAGTTTTGAAGGGGTCATGTATGACAAACCTAATACAGAATCAAATGAAGTATTGGAAATGTAATATAAAGGCCCTAACCCTTTATGCACAAATACTATACGAATTTCATAATCCAATATGAGCCTGTAATCTAACATGTACGCTGCCATACTCAAGATGTAATCCAATATATTGTGAATAGTTCCAAAATATGTAAAACAAATGACAAGAAATGAATCACCATACATTTAAAAAAATATTTCATTAGAAATACCCACCAAATCTAACAGATTCAAAACAGAGATCCTACAATTTGCTATGCATATTGTAGTACAGAGCCTACATACTTTATAAATATATACAGTATACACATAGAATACATAGTATAAAAAACTATTATTTTTACACCAGAATATTTTTATGATTCCTATGTTACAGTATATTATACTGTATATAGCTATATCCACCTGGCTACAAATAGTCAACCTAATCATTAAAAATATTTCTGAAATATAATTTTTTCATACGAATCTTATAAGATATACATGGTATAAAAAGATATACATAGTATAAAACTACTATTATTTTATATAAAACGATATACATAGTATATAAAAACTATTATTTATATAAAAAGATATACATAGTATAAAAGATATACATAGTATACAAAAAGATATACATAGTATAAATAAAAACTATTATTTTTACACCAGAATATTTTATGATTCCTATGTTACAGTATGTTATACTGTATATAGCTATATCCACCTTGCCTTTAAAAATGGCTACAAATAGACAACCTAATCATTAAAAAATATTTCTGAAATATTATTTTTTTCATAAGAATCTTGCCATTACATATTACATTGTACAATGCATGAATGTTTATCATTATTGCACAAGGTATGTGGATATTATATCATGTATAAAGTAATATTCAGCACAATGTGCACACAGAATACTTATGGCATGCAGAAACATTCTATACTATAGTATGAGTGATATTTACGATTAATGGT